AAGCAGAATGCTAAGTAAGCTAGGCGCCAGACAAGTAAAGTCGTCATGTGTCAACCGGCTCTAACAAAATATAACTTCAGTCGCTCGGTCGCTAAAGCACATGCACTTAACTTTAAGTAAGTTAACCCCGTCCCTTTCGCTATTACACATTCAGAAGTGTGTTAAATTCTGCAAGTACAGTTTTTCAAAGCGTCAATGCGGGAAGAAGTTGCAGATTTTCCGCATCCATTGTGAGCAGATAACCGGACGAGAGAGCTAACGTTACTAGCCGGAGAAGCTGGCCGCCGTTCAAACAGCCCGGTTGGTTTCCAAGCCAACGTTACAAAGTGAAACAACATTGTAAGACACAGCTGAGTTGAATAAACCAAAAGTAGGATTAAATATCTCACCTATTTGGGCTCGCAAGCCTTTGAGAGTCGTACTACCCTCCGCCATTTCTCTGAAGTTTTCCTTCTCTGTTTTTTTTTTTTTTTTTTTTTTAAAGCAGGGCGCGTAACACATCGCAGCCGGTAGGACTCGGACACCGCGGGACGTGGACATCAAAGATATGGTGAAAGAGGAGAGGTCTAACTCGGACAGTTTCTCGGACCAAGAATAAAGCGGATGAACAGCATGCAATATGCTTCACTTTGAATGTAAAGCTTTTCATTTCTTTTTGGGTATGGCCAGTTGTTGTAATCTTTATTACAAAATAAAAATCATCTTTAAAAGTAATTCCATGCCGCAGCCAAAACATAATTCCTATTTGAATTGTTTAAAATTCTGCCACGAAAAATCTTTTTTAGTTAAATGTATTTTAATTTATGCACAACAAATATATCCTTAATAAAACACTTAAATGAAGAAAATACATTTATTAGACAACAATGCTGCAGGATGATGTCGCTGCTGTACTAACTGCAAAACCTCGCAACTGCGGTGAGATGTTAACTGCTCTTCGTTCGCTTTCAAGAAAGCTGCATGCCTCCAGGAGGTTGCAGGATTTTGGAGATTACTTCTGTCTGCGTAAGGCTTTTAGAATCAGAGCGCTTGTATAAAGCTGTGCAAAACGCATGGCGTGCCATTATCAAGCCATAATGTTAGAATAGTAGTGGTCCATCTAATTTAATTGACGATCTATGCGGGTAAAGAAAACCCATGTTCATCTCCCCCTGAAGTTCAATTGCGCCCTCTGGCGTTTATATGGATGTTTTGTATGTCGGTACACTGACAGTCTATCCACCAGAGGAAGCCTACTGACAACACCGGCAATTATGACTCAGAACCAGTTATTAAAACCAGCATTATGGACTCTAATGAAGCAAGGCGGATAAGCTGAACAAAAAGAATAATAACATATAATAAATAAATAAAAATAAATAATATAACATATCTTTGATTAGGCCTTTAACATTCAAAGGTTTTCAGAATGAAGAGAACTAGACAGAGAATATAATTATCCATACTGAGATTGTTTAAAACAAGTAATTGTAAAAGAAAAAAATCAAATCTTACCAGTGTGAGTCTGCTGAAGGATCCTTACCGTTAAAGATCAAGTTAAATGGTCTGTAAGCAAGCTTCTCCCAATGAGAGACTATCACACTTTCTCATGGTTCTCTGTTCTTTCTCTTGACCTGAACACTGTATCCTCTGTCTCAGTCAGTCTCACATGCTTTAGCCAGAGGGCCTCTCATCTATTTTACATGGTAAACAGGAAGTAACACAGCATGCAGGGTTAAGTTGCAGTGGCCTGGATTGGATCTGGGGTTATTTAACACTCAAAGCACAACCTTCACCCTATCAATAACGTGCCATCTTCAAGTAATATGATTCAGAAATGTATCTCAGGTTTAATATTCATTCGTTTAAAATGAAATTGATTTCTGACGGGAGAAACTTCTGTAAGAGCAAAAATGTTGGGTCATCCATCCACTGTGTTGAAGCTGGCGCCATGGTAACACATCCTTGGGTCTAAGTGGCCCACTTGTTCACCACAGCTCTGCGTATCCGAGCAACAACCTGAGGATTAGGCAGGAGTGCTGCAGCCTGGGCTGTGTGTAGGTGGAGGTGCGCAGGTACTGGAAAAAAGGTCCTCAAAGTCACAGAGATGAACAGTGACCTAAGGTGGGACGCCCAAAGACTGATCAAGTGTCAAGCTGCAGGGAGAAGTGCTGGACTGAGTCATCGTCAAGCCTTTTTAATTCTTTGATCTGGACAGAGTTAGAAAATAATCACCATAATAATCTTCAGAAAGGAATTGTAACTGATGTATTAACCTGGTAGGTGGCCACGCACTTAAGCCAAAGGAAAACATATCCTGGTCCCTGAGCCCGATCCCAGACTGTCTGAAGTTGTCACTCCATCTGAGATTGACATAGAAAACTAGAAAAGGTAGTGCAGGTCTCATCTTCATTCTTCAAGGAAAACGATTGTTTTCATATAGTATATAATTGGTATTTTTTAAAATTGTTAACTGTGGGCAGTTGTTGGTGGTGATCTTCTTCTGTAGATTAATAGAAAAAAGAAACCAACACTCAGTTAAGAACTACAGTAAATTAATAATATACTGTTTATGTGCACTTGCTGGCATAATGTATCAAATCTTTTAACGTCATGTGGAATTACATGTAAAGTACAAGTACTCAATTCTGTACTTAGTGCCATCCCTATAATAATAATAACAATGATGATTATTTGGAACTAGATTAGACAGTCAACCCTTAAGAATTATGTAAGAAAGAAAACAGCTTAAGTAAGACTGCCATGAGCGAAGCAGCGTAACGATGACCTCATTTGGGGAGATTTTGTGGAGTGTGTCATCCTTCTTTTGTTCAATTTATTCCCTAAAAAAAAAATGTGTTCTTTCACAAACTCAAGAACTTCCTTTGTCAAGGAACATATACTGGACTGTATATGAAATATGACACATACCAGAGGCACACCAAAGAAAGGAAAAATATTTACTTGCCAAGTTTAAAATGCATATAGCTCAATAAGTGCATAATCACGAATAAGTCTGGTTTGCTTCCATACAAACTGGTGCTCATTTAGCAGAGGTAATTATTGGGAGTTATTTTTGAGAAATTACCTAATGCTACATCATTTGTGACGCAAGAAAGGTTCCCAACAAAACTATCAACCAGTGGACCAATAAATATTAGATGTTTAGGTCCCCCCACCAGGGCTCCTCATGTCACAAGCAGTCATATCATATTCTCCCTTGGGAACTCCCTTGTTCTCGCTCAAGCATCTTGGACTGGGCGGCAGAGGAGTAGGGAAATGAATAAAAATGTATGAATGAGATCTTTCTTAGAGAATGTGTTTCAAAGAAACGTCTGTGCATGTGAGAGTGTATTTGCTAGCTTGAAACATATCTTAAACTCTACGCCCAGATTCTAGTAATCGAGGTTTCAACTGGCTGAAGACTCATGTTATATAAGCCATAGTCTGAAATCGTACAGTTGCAATAAACTGTTTGTCCACACTGTGGTAGTATGGAGCCATCAAACTGCCAACCAAATCCCCATTCTGATGCCATATAATGGGCATAAAAAGAAGAGTCACTGACTATACTGGTAGTTTAATGTTTCTCCGGCTTAACAGAAGGATGTATACTGGCTTTTCAATAACTCTTTAGAGTACAACTGTAAAGAAGACACACAAGGCCAGCAGATGTCACACAGTAAAGCCAATTACATTTGTTTGAGCAGTTATCACTGGAGGTTCATTGTAAAGCTTTTGAGTGTTTGAAGAAAATTAACAGTGACCCAAAGAGCAGACACACACACACACACACACACACACACACACACACACACACACACACACACACACACACACACACACACACACACATGCAAACCTGCTCTCTAAGTCAACATAATCATGACTAGTGAAGATTGTTGACATCATTGTTAAGGAAACATTCAGAAGATGTTGGATTGAGACCGACCATGTTTTTTTTAATCTGCAGATCAGAACACATAACATGTAAGAAGACATTTTAAAAATAAGTGTATGTAACAACCCTAAATATGAAAATACAAACAGACAAACTGGGAAAACTGTGATAAATCTGTCATTAACAACAATACACAGAAGGTTGAGCACTGTAGTCTTCAACATACTGGAGTCTGGAGTTAAACTTTAAGCCTTGTTAAGATAATTATTACAAACTCAAACTGTCACTTAGCCACTGGAACTCTAACAACTCAGCCATGTGCTTAGTAATACTGGACGCAAATGCTTAATAAATATGTTAATGTGAGTATTTCTTTGGCAAAGGTTTCATGAAGGTTTAAATGGCATTTTTCTTGTCAGTTATATTTATGGCCATTGATTAATGAGTAACTCTGGGAACTAAACGGAAAGGGCGTGGAGGTCTACTTATAGACAATTAAAGTGACGCTTAGGAGCAGACTCGTGGCTGAGCCAGCTTCTTATGAGCTAATTTGATCTCTTAATTTCTCACAAAATTACAATACAGATCTGTCCAGTCATAGGACATTATGGTAAGTCAAAGTCACATTTTTTTAGTATGAATACATTATTATTTATTGTATTTTTCTCACCTGTGTGACTGCAAATAACAACGTCTAATTGTGTAAACATTTGGCAGATGATCACTTGACTGACACTTAAACTCCTGCGTTGTTGATGTGGCCATGAAGTCCGTCAGAAACCTGTCTTGTCTCGCCTTCTGTCTGAGTATACTGCTGGCAGTGTGTCTACTCGGCTCAGGTAGGATTTCTTAATCATTTGAAAGCCTTGGCAATATTTTAGTAGTCAGGAAATATCACACAAATATCCTCAGGTACCTTACTGTGTTTGGTACCAGCTCTTTTATCTCTGGGATTACTCTATTGTGTCTTTATTGTGTTTGCATTCTTTTATCGTGGCTTGATAAGATCTGAACTGAGCTGAGAACTAATGATTGTTTTGTCTAATCTACTTGCCTCTTTTCCTTTTATGTGTTTTATCTTCAGCTGCCTCTGACAGTAACAGTCTGTGGGGTAAGAAACTGAAGTTCATAGGTCGTCCTTGTTTGTGGCAGCTACACCCAAACACTGCCGTACCAGCCCTTAATGAGCTGACTGTATGCATACTTTTACGCCTCGAGCTTTTAACAGAATGGACAGGTTTTGACTACAAAGCACCAGGGCAAAGAAGCATAGAGCTGGGACTTCAGGGCAAAGGTCAAAAGGGATCAGTATGGCTGTTTGGAAGAAAAGTACCCTTGACAAAGGAACTCAAATCAGACAAATGGTACTCTGTTTGTGTCACCTGGTCCGGACGAGCTCAGAGGCTACGAGTCTACATCGATGGAGACAAGGAGCTTGAGGTTTCTGTGGCTCCCCTCTCGCCCCAACATCTGGCCCCAAATGGCACTCTCACTCTGGGGGTGTCTCATTATGTATTAAACAGTGAGGTGCAGGAGGAGGATGGGAAGGGTCTGTTTGGCGACATTGGTCTGTTCAGGATGTGGGCGAGAGAACGGAGCGCCGAGGAAATTAGAAAATAATTGTTACTGATGGAGATGTGGTGAGCTGGGACTTGCGACAATGGAAATACAACTGCCCTCCAGAGCCGGACAGCCATCTACACTGTGGTAAATACAGTTTGACCTTTTTCAATTGCATTTCATGGTCAATCAGGTTAGAAAAATAAATCACTTCCAGTTTTCCCCGCCTGTTCACACAGCAAGGCAATCTGCTGTAAGTGAAAGTTGAATGAGTTGGCAGATAATACACTTTGTTGTAAAAGTGCAAGGTCAAAGAAAGGGCGAACAACACATTCCTAAGTTCATAAAACACCTTGGTGTTAGGTCTAACATTTTTCTTTCTTATTGTTTTTTTTAGCATGGTCACTGTACAAAATCAAAATGTGGACATTCTTGGATACCTCTCTGAAGGCTGGAAAATGTCCTATGTCGCTGGAGGAAGTCGCGAGAAACTGGGTATGAAAAATATCGAGAAGATATGGATTGGATTTTCCAACCAATGACACTGAACAAACAGCCAGAATAAAATGATTTACCTTTGTTGTCGTCTCTTATCAGCTGGAGAACATTTTCCCTCCAAGGATTTCTGTCCGTGACGTCTTTGTGTCATCTCCAAGGTAACACAACTTCAGTTTGAAAAACACTCCTGTACATTTATCAATTCTGCCAGACAAAAAAACCAAAAACAACAGTTAATAAAAGATTGCACACCAATTACACCTATGAGCCAATTACAACAATGCCAAAAGTGTTAGTGAGATGTAACGGTTGTTATTGGTCAACTAGAACACATTTAAAACATATATGCAGTTTAGATTTGTTTGGGATAAGTGAATTGTGTTTTATGAATGTATGCAATTAGATGTATTCTTTTTTTTTTTTAATTGGAAAGCTGGCAGAACCTAAAGCAAAGTGACAAGTTCGATATTTCCCTGGAATCGTATTGGTGTAAATTTAAACACAGCATTATGTATTCATAATAAATAGTGTGAATTTGTAGTGCAATGCTTGAGGAATGAACAGAGTTACTTTTCACTTCTGTTGGCTGGTGTTTCATCAAGATCCAGAAGCTCTGGGCCTGTATTGGCAGTGAATTACAGGGATGACTGGTGCATTATTAGTTTAGACTCTGATCATAGTGTTGCTCCCCAACTATAACTCCTGTCTGTAATTTCTCTTTTCTGTGTTCCCATACAGCAGAAGCTGCCATGGGGTTAATAATTTTTCAGCTCTGCATGTGGAACGACCTCAGGTACACCACTATAAGTGCTCAGTTTGATTTTCCATGGAAAAAAAGAAGCAATATCCTCAAAGAGCGATTAGAGAACAGATGAAGTGCTTGAGACAGTTTTCTTTTCTGAGGAAATGAATACCGGTAATACAGCTTTAGTAAATATATAACACAGCTTTGTGTTTCTAGGCATCATTGGCATCCTCCGCCTGTGATAACTGGTAAGTCCCACAGTTTACAAGAAGGACGCATGACACAAGATGGACGTAAGAGCCAGATCATTTCCAAACTTAGGTAAAGATAACATGAGGAGTTCTTCCATGTCATTGTGATTCATCTCAAGTTTCAGCTGTGAAGTCTATGTGAACGTGGATCCTGCTGTTAATGTGGACGTGGTTCAGGCAAACATTACTGCTCTGCTGAGTGGGAACTACTCTTCTGACTTCCTCAACCTGACAGCTGACCCTTATAGCATCAGCGTCCTACCTGTAGGTACGTTTAGTCTCTAGAGTACACATCTCTTCCTCTCATGAAAGCCAGCAAAATGTAGTCAGAGTTGTGTGTGAGTGGACTTCTGCCAAAGATTAACCAGACATAGATTTTTATGACCTTTGAAATTGTCCTGAAAAAGGATGTATGTTGGTGTCACGTGTATGTACATACATAATTATGCAATGTTTGTTTAGTTCTGTGTTTTATAGACACAAAGAAGTCTCTGGCTCTAATTTGAAATGTTTACCTGAAGCAAGAATACAAAAAATATCAATTTGAGTAATTCAATTAACCTAACACTTTCGCTGATATTGTTTAGTTACCGAATTAAAAGGATGGTGCATTCTGCAGATACATGCATAACAAGGATAAATGATATCAGCACCTGCAGAAATACATATAATTAATGCACATCAGATATAGGACATTTTTGTGTTACTTAAAATACTTTCAGATGTTTTAATCAGTCTAATAAAAAAACCTTAATTAATATTCCCACATTCAGCTATTTTCAACTTTTTTTTTTTAAATGTTCATTTTTTTAATATTAGTGAGTCATATAATTTAATTCAATTTCAGAGTCTTTCCCTGAAGTGACAAAACCAACTCCGACTGTCATCACTGAATTAACTACATCAGGTGAACCAACTCCGACTGTCATCACTGAATTAACTACATCAGGTGAGCTCGCAAGAGAGGATAAAGAATCAATTTCTTAGAGCATGTTTGCAGATTTTAATATTAAATTCAAAAAGTCTCTAAAAGGCACATTGTTTTCTTATGTTTGAAGGCTATTCTTGTAAACTTTGTCCTTTGATTAACAAAAACAGGTCCAACTGAAAGCCTGCCAGCTCGACCTGGCAACATGTCAACGACTAGAGAGCCTCTAGATCTCAATGAAACCATCGGTCAGTTTTTAGAAAAAAAATGAGATACATAATTTTCCATCCTCTGTAATTTCTTCTTCACAATGTTTAAGAACTTTGTCCAACGAGAGAACACTTTTTTTTAAGGCAAAGTTTTGGGCTATTGTGGCCTCATTTAGATAATAGTACAGTGAATAGAGTAGGACACTGGGGTGGAGTGACATGGGGGAAAAGAGCTGAGGGCCTGATTGAACTCGAGCTGTCTGCTTCAAGGACTACAGCTTTTGTACAGATGGCGCAAACTTAGTCTACTGCTATGCCAACAGGCATCCCAGAAAACGTTTTTAATTGGAGACAGCATTGAAACAGTCACAATACATGTTAAAAATCACGAAAAGGTCAATTATAATATACGTATAAGTGCAACAGAAAAGTGGATAGTAGACCTACCGACAAACACAGCAAAGTAAATATTAATGCCATTAAGGCTATGTGCTGATTCAAGAGGGAATTGCTTTTTATTTCAAATTGAAGGTTTTAATTGCAAACTTGATGGGTGAAAACTTGAACTAGCTTTGAAATTCTGTGTTTTAAAACCTGAAAGTCTATCAAAAGGAATCCTGATCAGTGTGGCTAAACTTTTGGGGATTTTGGAATTATTCTACTTGCTTATTTGATTGTTCCCTGTCTTAAGCACCACATTTAAATGTTGTTTCAACAAATCTGCAAATGTATGCCTGATTGGAAATATCTCATTCAATATGCCTCCCTGAATGGTGCATTGTCTGCCTTCTTGTTTTTGCAGTTGGGCCAGATTTATTCTTCAGAGTTGATCTGAACTTGAGTATTACAGGCAGTCCTACAAATCCAAAGGGTGACATAACGACATGGGTAAGAGACCCACACAAAAACACTTTGTCATTTTCTCCAACGAAAACAAGCTTACACTGAGTTATTCTCTTGGGTCTAAAGGTGAAAAATCAGCTGGAGGTGAATAACAGCATGATTGTACTGAACCTCATCATAGAAGAGGTTAATGGCAGGTGGGCACTGGATTTATTAGTTATGGCATACCTAGCATTCAGGTTATATCAATATATGTCACATGAAGCTCTTTAAAAAAGATGAAATCTCTTTTTTCTACTGCATAGGTACATGGAGCAGTACAATGGACACATGGTGAGTATATATATATATATATATATGTCATTGTTATCGCATCCAACTTAAATAAAAGAAGACAAACAAAACTAATAAGTGCAATTTATTTTATATTTCAAACTATTTTCCACAGAAGTTGAGTCATCAAATAAGAATTCATATTGAAGTCATTACAGTACATCTCTCTGATTCCTTTCTTTTAGATTTTGAACGGCCAACAAACACAGTAGGTGACTGAACAATGAAAACCGTAATGATGCTGAAAGCTGAAGCCTCCCTGTTTTCTTCTGTAACACAGCTTGATTTGTACTGAACTCTGGATTGACTGTATCAAAGCCTTGAAGTTAATACTCATGTTGTGTTTTTCATCTACAGATATAACTGTACCTTCCATGTTCAGGAATTCAACATGAACAGTGTGGAAAATAATAAAGCTCTAATCCATGCCGCACTGACGTCAAAGTATGAAAATGGATCATTTACTATACAAACTATTAACTTAGTGATCAAGCATATAGGTGAGACCATTTTCTCAACACCATTTGGAAAGCGAACTTACCAGTAGTCTAGTTATGAAATTAAACTTGGCTGCGCATATTTTCTTTTTTTAGTGCCAGAAAACTGCTTAGAGGAAACCACTTTCACAATCTTTGGAGAATATATTTGGCCTGAAGCATTTCCAGAAGTTACCCAGGAAATGGGATGCAAGAAGCCAAAATCAGAAAGAGCCTCCAGGCTTTGGTAAGACATTAACTTAAACCATATCCAATGTGTTTCCACTGTATAGTCAGATTGCTGGTTTATGACAAGGTTCAAACCTATTTTATCTTTTTCATCAGAGTCTGTTTCCATGCAGACACCTGAGCGGTAGAAGATAATTCCCTCAATAACAATGTCCTGTTTCAATCAATCATCCCATTTACTGCACATATAAGCTGATAGATCACTGCCAGTGTTTAACACATGCAAAAATCAATTTCCTATAAGTCAAGTATTATTAGTGCAATAAAGGGCTTCCATCTCCCTTGTGTTATTTTTGCTTAATTAAATATCACTGAAGGTACAGGGTTTATGGTCTGTTAGTGTTAATGGCACTCTGCTTTGATAGTTATTAAGTCCAAACACAGTCATCAAGAGAGGACAGGTGGTTTTAAATACTTACCACCACCCTTTTTTGGAAACTGGCAATAAATGCATTAGCCAAAGACCGAGCTTGACTTTGCATTCATAAGCTCCTAAGTAGGAAAAATGTGTGTTGTATTGCATTGCTCATAACCGACCACCAACCTAAGAAAAAAAAAAGATCTGCTGAGTATCTGGTAACATGATGTTATGACTGTACAAGTCACTGCAGTTTTCAAATTGCAATATTTTCTTTTCCCAAACTTGTCCAAGGTGTACAACAAGCCTGTTTTTACTGTAAACTTAAATGACACAGAAACACGAGGAATACAAAGGAGAAATCTTTGCTGCATCTTATCCCATCTCCCCCTATCCCATTTTTCTTTTGTAACATAACAATGAGTAAGGTCTTTACGAGGAAGATGTACTTTAATGATCCCTGCAAGGGATTCTGTTTTTACACTTTGTTAATGAGTCATGCAACACACGCAGGCTGAAATATACACATGCACAAACAGGATCCTATGGACATGCAGTAATGGAGAGATGTCAGAGTGAGGGAGTTTACAAACCAGTTAAGTTACCAGTTAGTTCACCACCTTAAGGTGGATTCAGGGCGGACTTGGGCTGACCTGCTACTGTTTGTTTGTACCCTAAAGTCACTGAAAAGAATACAATTATTTGTGGATTATCAGATAAAAAGAAGGTGTTTGTTTACTTTTCCTTTTGTCATATTCACTCTGATTTTCTACTCCCTACAGCAAGTTAGACATTGAAACTGACCGGACCAGCTGGTCTGTTCCTGATATGACAAATTGTAAACCAATTGTAACCATATCAGACTTGGAAAATATCAATGTCACTACTGGTAAGAGGATCAGCCGTACAGAAATCGTTTTATATTTCATTGCTTTTCATTTTATAGAAAAATAAAATATTGCTGCTTTAGAAAGCCCAATAAATAAAGAAATACCCTTTCTTGATCATTCTTTTTTCCTTATCAAACTAAAAACTTGCAAAACATGTTTAAAAACAACAATGAACTCATTGGTTTTCAGGTAACGCGGAGCAGGTGGTGGACATGATTCAGGACCTTGTAAGTAATCAGTTAGAAAACAATACAGAGCTATTTTCCGCTGATCTGGATACAGTTGTGGACAAGCTCGGTGAAGTGGTTGATGCCAGTGTCGTCATACCCGCTGTTGGTGCAGATATTGTCAATATTGTTGCTGATATCCTGCTTTCCAAAACTGACATCACTCCTGTGGCTAGCATGTAAGTGGAGAGAGAATGTGGTCATCTCAGAAAGTGATATCCCATCTAAAATCTTGTTTGTATTAAACTTAACTTTCTTTTGATATGTGTGGCTTCCTCTCTTTGGAAATAGTGTCCTAAATCTAACAGAGAGAATGTGTAACAAAATGGATTTCCAAGATGAATCTGTCAATGTAACAGCACCTTCACTGGCCCTGTCCATAGTCAATGTAGACCCAGGTGACTTCAGAGGCCTCACCTTTGGTGTGTCCTGCACTTCTCCAATCCTAAACCCAAAGGTGAGTTGCTATAATATGCTCCAAAATGTGTTACAGGCAAGGTAGATTTCTGTGGCATCCTTAAGCAAATGTGAAATGTAAAAAATGTGTTGAAGCAAACTTTGACGTCTTAGGCAGTCATGCCACATTTACTTTTAGCAAGTTAGAGCAAATAAAAAAAACTGGTTGTCAGGAGGAGTTTGATTTAGATTAGCAAGTGATGAGAAATACTGCTGTACCAACCCTGCAATATAATGTAATTGTTTCTATTCAGATTTTTGTCAACCAGAACTTTGTGAGTGAACCACTCCCTGACACAGATGCGACTATCGCTTTGCCCCCTGCCCTCCACGACCTTTTTCTTCCTGGAAAGGATAATAAAACTCGTATCCAGTTTCAGTTCTATGGCACAGAAAAACTTTTTCAGGTACTTCCATTTAAAAAAAAAAAAGATTGGTAGCATGTTTTGCTGTTGTTTCTGTTGTTTTATCATCTACGTTAAGACAGAGAATTTCACGTTTACTGGAAAACGCACATAATATAATCTTGAACCCATTCGGAAATAATATTTACCACTAGTGTATAAGAATGTGTTTTCCAAAATGTCAAACTTTTACGTAAGGAAAAACAAAGATAGTAGAATATGAATATTTTGCCAATATTAATGAATACTTCTATTTATTACTCCTTTTGTTACCATGAGTTTCTAATTGACCATTTAATTAAAACTGTCATACTTCATACATTCAATTATAGTCCTGCAAACCTTTTTTCTATTTTCAATAGGATCCAGACCTCAACAATGGAGCACAGAGTAGCTTGGCATTGAATTCATACATAGTGTCTGCCAGCGTCAATGGCAGCCATGTACACAACTTAAAGGATAAGGTGGTTGTGACCTTGAACCATCAAAAACCCAAACAGGTGAGGAATTTTACCTTCATTGATCAATTAGATGAGTATTTGACTCTACAACTAAATCACTTCCCTGTTTATTTTTGTTTTGTTTTGTCACAGCAAGAGTTTGAGGTACGGTGTGTGTTTTGGGATTTCCAGAAAAATGGTAAGTTTGTCATTATTATTATTTTTTATGTTTACAGATGAGATGATTTATAGAAATTAGACTTAATAGTGCTAACAAAGGTCCCTTAACATGCACATCTGTGTGATTATTGATAAGCGATGTGTGTGTTTTGGTGGTGGTGGTGTGTGTGTGTGTGTGTGTGTGTGTGTGTGTGTGTGTGTGTGTGTGTGTGTGTGTGTGTGTGTGTGTGTGTGTGTGTATGAGTCAGCCGGGCAGGGAGGTTGGAACAGCGGAGGTTGTGAGACTCAGAGTATCTCTTCTAATCAGACCAGCTGCCTGTGTGATCACCTCACTCATTTTGCTGTGCTGCTGGTGAGTCATTGGTTTGCCTTATATAAATAAAACCGGGGGAACAGAAAACTCCCACAAACCCCAGCCTGCTGTGTGCAATCTGGCCAGTTGCTAACTGCCTACATCTATTTCTGCCAATGACACAAGATGCTGACGTAAAGGCCACAATGTGGATTTTTTTTTCTTGAATTCAGTTTTGATTATGATGTGTTTTAACAGCTGGCACTGACCCTTGCCAGAATGTCCTTTCATGTGTCACCACTAGAGGGCAATTCCCTCAGTGACATCTTCCATTGCTTTCTGAAGCGTATAGTTTTGAAGCTCAGTGATTGTAGCCATGCCTCAAACAAACTTTTGGTCAACCTTCTCCTGGGCCTTTAGCCTCATGGCAAACAGCTAGAGTGATCGGATCAGCCATGCCCCTATAATTAACTCTTTATATCATCAAAAAGGACTACAAAAAAATAAAATCACCCTCTGTACAGTGTATGCCAGTAGCTATTTAGACCAAATTTCTCACTGAACAACATGTTTATTCGTGCTGTAAAAATAAGCATTTTAATATGGGTGTGTTTGGGATTTACATGGCTTTTGCAGCCAGCCTCAAGTGGACACTCGAGGAACTGAAGTGTTTGGCCTAATTTTTCAACAGCCACTTGATCTTTTTCTTCTAATGAATAAAATGTTTGTTCTGCTTTTTATCCAGGACGTATCCAGGAGGGATCTCAGCGATACTGACAGTCAGATCCTGACAGTGATTTCATATCTTGGTTGTGGTATATCATCCATCTTTTTGGGCATCACTCTTCTCACCTACCTTGCTTTTGAGTGAGTCCCTTTGAGCAACACTAACTTAGTTATCGCAGTCTGGCAGACAGAGACTGCATCAAGTCAGAACATTAACTTAAATAAGTTATTGGAATAATAATAGAATCACTCCCCCTCTCTTTTTCCCCGCATTTCCTGTTTATCTTCTTCTGGTGTCCTATCAAATTCATGTAAAAAGGCCATAGAAAAATCCCCCAAAATATGAATGAAATAAAAAACACACACATTTTGGGAAGATCTTATTAAGTATTAAACCTAATCCATAAAGGCTAAATCTTGAAGTCTTATAAGGAGCAACTTTGTCACCCAAGAATTTATATCTTAATAATATTCAAGGATTATTTAATTATCAAATAAAGTACATTTATTGTATCAAATAGTGGCAAAGAAAACCAGTTTTGTCTATCTCTGCTTGTGTTTATCTCATTTCAGAAAGCTGCGTCGAGACAACCCATCTAAGATACTCATCAACCTGTCAGCTGCCCTGCTGGGGTTGAGCATGCTCTTCCTTCTCAACTCCTGGCTGTCATCTTTCTCCAACTACGGCCTGTGCATTGCGACTGGTGCGTCGCTGCACTACTTCCTGCTGGCTTCTTTCACCTGGATGGGCTTGGAGGCTGTGCACATGTACCTCGCACTTGTCAAGGTCTTCAACATCTACATTCCTTCCTACATCCTCAAGTTCTGTGCCGCAGGATGGGGTAAGACAAGACCCCTCAAAGCTCCTCACTGCAGTGGAACACGTCGAGGATCATATCCATATGAGTAATGAATCAGCTATGATTGAACCACATAAACCAGATTCTTTTTTCTCAAAGGTATTCCTCTGGTAATAGTCAGCATAGTGTTGGCCATAGATAAAGATGCGTACGGAAATGCTACACCTGAAGAGGCTAAAGTGGCGCTTCAGTTCACTGACCAATTGTAAGTAAAAGAACAGTGTGAGTCATCTCCTTCTCTGGCGCATGTTGTCTAAAGACATAGTGCGATCAGTCATATAAGTGCATGATAACATACATTAATTTATTGATCACATAGATAAAACTGCACCAAAAAAGGTCAACACTAAGCAGCATATTAGACTATAAATAAAGGCGGTCATTGACATGAATGACAAATCCCAGTGTAAATGTCATAATGAGGAACTTTCTCCCTCCTTCCAGCTGCTGGCTGCAGAATGACGTCTTCTTCTACGTGACGGTGGTGGCTTTTTTTCTTCTGATCCTGTTGTGCAACATCTTCGTATTTATCAAGGTTCTGGTTCAGATCAGACAGATGAGGTTCAATAAGTCATCAGCAAACAGCCGCACGTCTCTGCAGGACCTGAGGGCGGTGGCCAGTCTTACTGTCCTGTTGGGCCTGACCTGGTTAATGGGCTTCTTTTCATTTGGCCCAGGAAGAGTGGCCATGCTGTACCTGTTCTGCATCTTCAACACTTCACAGGGTAACAAAAGGGGCTCTAGCTCTAGGGTGAATAGCGAAAAAATAAAACAAGAGTGGGCCATTTTCAACCAATCTGAATTGTGTTAGTGTTAAGCAGCATTGAGGTATTTTGCACATTTCAAACAAGGGATTGTTTGGACATTTAGCATCATTCATTTCCTAGTTTATCTTGTGGTTTGGCTGTTTTCTTTTGGAAGTTATAATAAGACTTAATGGCAGAGAAAGAATGAATATGACGCAGAAACAAAGAAACACCACTATGTCTTTACAATGTTATAATAAAAGAGGAGGGAGTTTATTATCTCTTCTCTTTGTTCCAGGTTTCTTCATTTTTTTGTTTCACTGTCTGATGAAGGAGAATGTGAGGACGCAGTGGAGAATTCACTTGTGTTGTGGACGTTTCAGACCCAATAATTACTCAGGTACGCATTGAAAAGCCCAACAATGCTTAAATGTGAAGGGAATGTTAAAGTATAATAGCAAGAATTTGAGCAATTTCGATTTATCTTTCTTGTCTCCTGTGTTCAGACTGGAGCCGCTCTGCCACAGGTGGCACTGGTGGTCGCCCCAAAAAGAACATTCTGGTTAACACTGTCTCAGTGGCTTCTGATAACACCACCACCAGGAAGGTGACAGATTCCTCGACAGGATCAGCACCAAACCACCACCAGAGGGCGTGAGTGGGCCTCCGTGTATGTCTTGTTTTAAAACGCTGCATTGTTCAAAGAAGAAAATAAAATCACTTGTTTTTTTCTAATACAGTTCATGCGAGGTTTGCTACCAACTGTCCCTGCAGCAGCTCTTATATGCTGTGGCACTGTGCTTGTAATTTAAGTGTATCTGCAATTTCAATGATAATAAAAGCATTATTGTTGAAACTTTTTGTGTGTTTTAATTGTCCACATCGCTACATTCCCAAACCACACAATGTCTGAAAACTGATTTTTCTTTTTTTTTTGTGAGTAAAGATTGAAATGCATTCAGACAACATATATCTCTTGTCTGTAAAATTAAGAGTTTTAGCACAATAATATTTTTCTTGACTATTGTTGCAACTGAAATAGCAACAATAGTTATCTTCAATTAAAGGCTAACAATAAATCTTCACAAATAGCAAAAACTGCAGCTCTTGTGACATTACTAATTAATTCCTTACTAAATAAGAGTATGTGATTTTTGTTGATAAAATTTTTCTTAGGACATTTTTTGCATAGAATTAAGTTTATCAGTAAAAACAAAACATCAGAAATGTCACCGCTCCTCTGAGCAGCACTATTTGTTCTGTTAACACTGAGTGTTAAAAAAATAAATAGAAGAACCTCAAATCAATCATTGAATACATGATGGCCCTTCTTTTTATTTAAAGGTTTATTTTTGGGCTTTATTTATACATCGGACAGTGGAGAGAGAGAGAGAGAGAGAGAGAGAGAGAGAGAGTGGGGGAATGACATGCAGGAAAAGAGCCACAGGTTGGATTTGAACCTGGAACGTCCGCTTAGAAGACGACAGCCTCCTTATATGGGGCGTGCACTAACCACTAGGCTACTGGTACCGCATGAATCCCTCCTTAAGATATGGTGATCCATTCAAAATGAATAAAGACTCTCTTTTATTTGCACTATTTACCCTGTTAAAGAGGTTTAACTTCATGTTGTCTCCATTATGTTAAAACTTTAATAATAACATACAGAATCATCTCAGCCAGTAAATGACATCAGAAGTGCAATCAACTTGTGTTGAAGTTTAGGACAGCGGTGGTAGGAATGTTTTTCAGATGTCTTTCAGGTTTTCGTGAAACTGGATAGATGACATTCTAGTCATAGCTGTCTGCATTCACACACCCTCCCAGTCTAACGCACCAAGAACCTTCTGAGGCTCAGTATGCAAAATGCTGTTTTTTCTGTAGTGGAAGAGAAGAAACAAGGACACCTCCTGTAGCGTCCTTAAATCTGGTTATTGAGTCTGATCTTTAAACTCGAGCTAAGAGGTACTTTTTTTTTTTACGACAACACTGGCTGCGGCCAATGTGGATGAACACTTCAGCTTTATTCGAGCAGTCAATGAAAGGACACACTCACTGTTCATCTTTGGTCAATCGTCAAGTCAGGTAAGAGAAGAAAGTTATTTACAATATCCAACAAAGTGGTTTAAATGATCAATTCAGCTAAGTATGTAAGTTTATTTTGGTTCGCACTATGGGATGGATGTGCTCTAATTATTTGCACTTCAGTCAGAATGGTTCAAAGGTTTTCCCAAAATAGGACACATTCAGTATGCCTTTCATCCCTTTTTTAAACTTTTTTTTTGTATGCCGTGAAAAATAACACAAAAAGCTATTCTTATTTTCTTTATTTTGTCCTTTTGGAACATCCAACCACAATTACCTTTTTTTTTTTGGTAAAAGAGTTCCAGTTACGAAGATTTCCCAGTATTGATCTTGGTTGCTGGATTTATTATTTTTTCCATCATGTTTTCTGAGTTTGTATGATTAAAGACACAATTTCTGAGTCATAAAATGTATTGAATTTACGTTTACTTTATCCACTTGCTGTTTGCGTTCCTGCTTGTGTGCTGTTATCAGTTTCAAAGAGATGCCAGTGATTTATGACATGAGTCTCCAGGGCAAGTCCAGATTAAACTGCTTCAGATGTGCAGATAAAGAGAGACGCTACACCTCTGGAGAAGAGTTTGATTTCACTTGTAATCATTTGCGATTCATCCTTTTTTTGATTAATATATTGCCAAAAACTTTTTGGGCAATTTTGACAAAACTGAAAAGGAAAAACTTTTATTTAACAGACAGACATCCCGAGCAGAACTATATTCACTGGTTAACATTGATCTTTATATTGTACATTTTATAACTGTTGCATTAAACCTGTGGAATAATGCATGGTCAATTACAAAAATACTGGTATGGTTTGGGCAGCTTCTTATGATCCTGTATTTGTCTCTGTTTTCAGTGACAGCCGGCCCAATGGAGGACAGAACAGACACTCAAATGGCTGTGAAGGTGGAGAAGCATTCTCAGTATGTCATCCTGACTTACTTCCAGGGAGACATCAACAGCATGGTAGATGCTCACTTCACTCGTGCACTCAGCAAAGTCTACAAGTCCAAGGCACAGGCAGCAAAAACAAAGAAAATACGTAAAACTATTAAACTGGGTAAGCAAAAAAAAAAAGTCATCACTGTATTATCCTAACTGATTATAAACAGCGCAATCAATCCAAATTATCCTGAATACATGTCCTCTTTTCTTATACCTGGCAGAAGATAGCATCCCCTGTCAGGGGAGTGCTGACCCTTACTCAGAGTCACAGGTCCCTCCTGTAGCAGGACATCTCCTGACCTTCAGTCCTGCAGACAACGTTCCTGACTCATGGCACTCGTTCACTGGCAGGGCAGGAGAGGGTCCAGGGTTGCCATACTCCATGTCACAAGATGGTTTGAGTGTAACCGGACAGCAATACGCCACATCCTTGCTCAACCTACTGCATAATGACCGGGGTGAAATGGGACCCAGCACGGCCTCCAACTCAAAGCCAGAGGGGCTCCCAAGCTGGACGGTGCCACAAGGATTCAGAGAGTCTGTAGACCCTGCTTTGGGCTATGAAACTGGTAAGCCTTTAAAATAACATATTTGAAAAAAGGAATTGTAACCATTTAAAAAATGGCTTTGATAGAAAACAGATAACATTTATCCATTCCTCTATCTTAATATGGTACATCAGACATATAAGCAACCTCATAGTTAATTATCAATATATCAATACAATAAAAATGGGACATTTAGGTGTTTGTAAAGCTGCAATCTGACTTAATTCTCTGTTATTTAATGTCTGAGCAATTCATTTTTTTGTTTCAATTCTTGAAGAAGCTGAAACTGATGATTAAGAGCAAAAACTCATTGTCATCTGGTTTAATACAATTGGATTTTGAAACCAGTGGAGTCTCCCCCTACTGGCTATTAGAGAAAAAAGCAGGCACGCAGTAGGCACACAAAATGCACGCACGAGGCACTTGGCTTGACTATTGGCTTCACTTATGAAACCAGAGCAAAATTACTTCCTTGGTCTTTTGTGGCCCTGAAGGAGTTTTTCAAAGTTGACAAAACTGCTTTTTGTGATTGTATGATTTTATCACTGCACTTTAGTGTTGGAATCTTTAAAGGTACAGTATGGAGTATTGGTAGTGAAATTTGAAAGTTGGAGAAGTGAAACAATTCTATGCTATATTTTGTGAAATGAATACACACAAAAAAAACGGGTCCCTGAGCACTGTTTAAAGCATAAAAGCTACAAGGAGAGGTAAGGTTTAACTGTTGCAAGCCCACCACCATAACTTCTTGGGTAGCATTTTATCTACAAACTGTGTTACAGGGACCACACAGTTTGTTTCTCCAACTTCAAAATTTCTCTTCCAAAACTCCATGGTGCACTTTTAAGTTGACAAGAAAAAGCCGGCATAACACAGTGGAGATTTGCATTTATAACTAGACATGAAATGTCTTTAAAAAAGAAAGAACTGAGTTGCATTGTGGGTGGGGAAAATAAAATGGAAAATCCTGCGTATGTGTTGTTGTTTTTATCATCTATATCTTGCAACTGCCCCAACTGAAAGAAACTTAATACACTTTTTAACCATGAATGGAAAAAGCTTTTAAACTTTAATGAACATAACGCCTCTATTACTAGAATTTAGGTGTTTCCCTTTAGGAAAAGTGGACACATCAGGTGCTTTTCACTTCGTTTTCAGAGAAGAGCATTAGTAGTTACAATAGCTATCTTTTAGTTGAAAATGATGCATTCCTACAGCAGAAACAGTGATGCACCACAAAGCATGTAGGGCTCCTAAAAAGTGTTCATTTCTGAATAAATTCACACTTTGTTCAGAGTTAATGAGGAATGATTAATTAAGAATGAGGTCAGTATGCTGGTTCACAGAAATGAAGAGAGTAGTCATCAGAAAACTGGCAACCTATAATTATGTTATTCTATTAATAGCACTTGTTAGGTATGTGGTAGTTCTGTACTTCCTTACAGGTGTTATCTCAGGAATCTGTTTCTTACTCTAAGAAATGCTAATGTGTTAAAAAATAATTCACTCAGTCGGCTTGTTTACAAAGCTGACCTTGTGAATCCATGAGAGCTGCTTATCATTATTGCTGTCTTTGTCGCCTCTCTGTCAGGACGCCATCTGGAAAAGAAAGACCTGTACTGGTATTGAAGCATGAGCGGCTGGAGCAGAAGAAACAGAGAACAATCTCAGCTACACCTGTGGCTCGAGAAAGCCACCCGGCTTTCTGTTCACCTAGTAGCAATCAAATATATCCTAGTCAAACAAGACTCTTGAGCATTATCAGAGTACACAGTGACGAAACAGCCGTGCTTCCATTCTCTCTCCCGCTCTTTCCATTTCTCAGTCAGATGACCTCAGTACCTCAGTATGTAATAACTGGAACAGCCTTTTTCTGAAAGGGAACAGTCTCTGACAAACCTGTTCTTCAACTCTGTCAGTACTCCTGTAGAGCTAAGAGCTCAGTATATGTCGTTGCTTCCTTTGCAGGTTATTTGAATGAAGGTCATTTTCTTTTGTGCTTTTAATCAGGCACTTCTCTTTGTGGGCCTACACAAGTAAATAGACCAGTATTAAGTTAAAGTGTTTGAATATTGATGTTAATAACTGCGTACAGCTCATAAAGATGTGTTTTAGTAGTGGTAGAATATTTTATCTATCAAAACAAACAAGCAAAAAAATGAAGGATAATGATGTTATTTTATGACTTTCTTTGAACGTGAGGGAATCTTCAAATATTGTTGTGTGCTGTCCTTAATGCAATGATGTAGAAATAAACATATATGGCAGAAAAAGGAAAATT